TATCTATTAGTGCTATAATGTATGCTCATTCATTCTTATTTTAATTTTTTTAGCCTTACAGTGGTAAAAGAAAGATAGTTGTGGCCTGGAGTCATCCATTGTTAAAACTGAGCTTAAAATAACATTAAGTTGTGTTTTTATTATCATTATTATAAGCTATATACTTTATGCTATTTAATGATAACAATAGTTAAGTGCTGCATGTAGGCCGCCTTTTTGCATAATCAGAATTTCAAAAATTTAAACTTTCATCAGTAACTCATAATAATGATAGTTAGATACATAGTTAGTTTATGGTAATTAGGTACATAGTTAGTTCATAGTATGTAGCATGATGTACATCTATTAATTTGGTGATCTACCAAAGTGGAAGTCTCTTATTAAGATCACATGGCTTTGACGGTTTTTTTGGCTTAGAAATGGGTTTAGAAATTGGCCTCTTACAAGCTGGCTGAATATGTCGCTTATGAAATTGTCGAGGAATTGGCTGACGAGGAATTGGCTGACGAGGAGGTGTCTTAAATATCGAATCAGTGATGAATGTTTCATTCCATGCTTTCAAAAATGGAGCTAGTTCAATCGTACCATCAGACCTAAGGATTTTTCTTTCTTTCTCTACCAAGGCAACAAACTTCTCAAGATAACTGGCGCTCTTAGAGGAATCGACTATGGCACTTTCCAGTAATTCCCACAATTTAATACCGTCTTTCACGACTACAATGAGATTCTTTATGCTTCTAACTTGTAGGCGAATATGATTAATCTTTTTGGTGCGTTTGCTTATGGAATCGGAATATGATCTCATGTTTTCCTCCAATATTTCAAGAGAGTACTCCTTTGACTGCAATTGACGTTGATAGGATTCAACCTCATAGTTTGATTTAGGAGCCACATAATGCTTGTAAAGGGACTTCATAAATTTATTTCTTTGTGCTTGTCTTGATCGAGCTTCTCTCATAGCACATCTGATATATTTGCATCTTTCCTTTATTTCCTGTTTCTCTGCCTGTAGCTTTACTTTTTTGTTTCGGTAATTCACCTTTTCTCTTTCCACTTCTTTTATATTCTCCTGACATAGAGCCACTTCTTCTTCCAACTCTTCCAGTTTCTGTTTGGCGTGGGTGAGAAGGAATTCTGCATCATCTTCTAGCGACTTCAGTGCTTGGTCTGCCCTTGCTATGACCTTAGTAGAAAAGGATGTATCAGAACTTATAGTCACTATCTTTTGAACGACTTTAATGCATAACTTGGCCTTAGCTTCCAATGGGTGTACAGCACAAGACGCCATGAGAAACCTTTTGAGTAGATCTATTTTTAAAAAAAGAGGTGTCCCACACTTAATGGGCTTGGCCCATCAATCATAAACGGAAATTAATGAAAATGATCATGTAGATCTAGATCAATGTACTCTGGGTAAAGTAAACCAATATCATTTTACACCAATAATAGATCTATATCACACTCTTTAAAAAAGCAATTATAATAATCAATAATATAATATAAAGTTTATAAACTATGCAGTATTAGTTTCAGGTACTTGAAAAGTAATGATGCACGGGCAACCATTTTTAAAAGCGTCTCTACCAGAATGAGTGTTGAGTGCTACCTGCTGAAGAACCGAGTCTTGCTGACCTTGACGGAAATTAACAAGACCATCCCCTCCACTGAACACAAAGCTAGAACTAGAAGTCGGCATAACCTGTCGCCCAGGTATGGCCATACTGATGGTAGAGGACTGTATGTGTTCATATATGGCTTCACCTGAGAGGATCTGGTCTCCTTCATAGCGTGACGGAGTTATGACAATGTCTGAAGAGCTTTTGAGGTTTTGTCGGTTTTCCAGTTCATCTCCCGATAGTTGAACATCCTCTTTTGGAACTTCATCATATTCGGCTTCTTCCACTTCTGCGGCCTCTTCCTCTTTTTTTGATGGGTCTGGGCCCTCTCTCTCTGTTGTTTCTTTTATCTTTTTCCTTATTTTTGGTGTTGGTTTCTCATGAGGTTTCTCGTCATCTTTTTTTAGAGTGGATCTTGGTATTTCGTAATCTCCAGCAGCATCTGAATTTTTTCCAGCTCCTCCAGCTTTAAGAGTTGATGATGCTGGGTCCTCATAAGGTTGTGCTTCTTTGATTTCTGGCTTACTTGTGTCTCCTTCACTTGCAGGACCTCCAGGAGGCTTTTGTGGTATCTCATAAATATGATCATCTTCTATTTCTGCCTCTGCATTCTTTGTGTCTTTTTGTACTTCAAAATCAGTAATTGTAACAGCAACTGGACTAACCACTGTGCTGTCACTACTAAACTCAGTTACTGGTACCATTGGAAGGCTATTGGGAGCTACAGGTGGAGCTACACTCTCATTTTTTTTTGCTTCTTTGGCCTTCTCTTTTTTCTCTTCTGATTTTTTAGCAGCTTGTGCAGCAGCTTTTTTCTTCATTTTCTTTAGCCTTGGTTTTGGTGTTGGGCGCTGAGGCTGCGGCAGGGCCTCTTTCTCTGACTTTAGAAACTCTTTGCCTAACTCAAGCTTCTTAATGACCTGCTCAACACGAGGCAAAGCAGTTCTGTCTATCTCTGGAGTAGGGGCAGGAGCAGCTTGTGCAGCAGAGGTCAGTGTTTTAGCAGCATTGGCTTCTGGTTTATTGTAAGACCCAGCTATATTCCTCTCTCTCTCTTCCTTCATAAATTCTTCAAAACGAGCCGAAGTCTTGTCTATTTGAGTCTGAACTGAGACCAACACTCTCACTGTGCCATTGTGTCCATCCCCAGCTAGGAATGGACGTGAATTAAGTATAGGTAAACCATTGAGTGGTGGTATGCGGTATATCAGTGTAGCACCAGATGACGTTCCTGTCCATAAGAAACCAGACTCCACGAGTAAAGACGTGATGTGAATGTTGACATGAGAGTTGAGCTTATCTTCAATGTTAGCATCTGGAGTTGAGAGAAATGCAAAATTATTATCAAAACTATGATCATTATAAATTAATTTTATTATTTTATACTATCAATAAAAAATAAAGAAAGGATGCTTAAAAATTTTTTAAATCTTGTTAACACCTTGAGGTGCAAACAAGGTGTCAAAAATACAATCAATGCAATATATTATGTCAATAATTAATAATGTACTGCATCATTCCTTACTAGCCACAATGTTGGAGAGTGACCCTTTGATATTAATCTCTTGTACTGGCTTCTTTGTGTCTTTATGAAAGAGATAGAGTATTGATCCTTTACTTAAAGCTATCCACACTCCAGCCCCAGCACTCTCCATCCTCTTCACTGAGACATCATCATTAGTCACTTTATGACTCGTCTATAATAATAATAATGATAATAATAAAACTTTTATAAATAAACGTAAGAGAGATACTGTCAAGTAGTATTTCTGCTATTAACGACACACCAAACTTTGTTTAAATTCACCGAAGTTATTGAGGTACTTAATAAAAATAACAGTGTCATTACCTCAATGTGAAGTTTTTCCATGTCTAAGACAACGAAACATTTTTGGACACCAATCCATAACTTATTGGACACCAGACAGAAGCACTGTATGGAATACTGGGACAACGGTATGCGATGATCAAGCTTTTTCAAGTCCCAATGCATACCTAGTTTGAGAGTAAATAATAATCTCCATTACATATACTCTTACCTTTAGCACGAGTGAAAACATTAACATAGCCATTAGCAGTCCCAACAAATGCTCTGTTCCTATACCTCCTACAGTGTAAGGAAATAAATGAGAGCTAGTGCCATTAAAATGGACTCACTCAATGCATAACACTGAGTCCTGGAGCTGGACTGACTGCAAGCACTTGTTACTATCGGCATCATAGAGGAAGAGCCTATGAGAAAAGATTTTTTAAATGAAGACATTGCTATATAATGAAGAAACTCTTAAGAATGATAATTAATAATAATAATAATAATAATAATAATATAGTGGTAGTAATAATAGTAATAATTTATCTTACACTATGCAAACATAATAAAGTGCTAATTTTCTATGTGCTTACTTGCCACATTGAGATCCAATCCAAACTGTCATTGAGGATCTATTATCAGCTGATGATGTGGTCGGTACACTCTATCAACATAAAATAATCTAAAGCATACTATAATTATTAGGATTCCTCACCTTCATGCAGAGTATCTTGCGAGACTGAATAGGGAACGTCTCTACAAGCATTGGAGATGGTAGGAAACACCTCACAACGGAAATAAAGGCACCACTATTGTTACCAGTAGCAAACCAGACCTTATTGTTGCCTACACTGGTAGCACACTCCACCTATATAGGGTACAAAATAAATATGCTTGTGCATTTAAAGTGTTACACATGTGTGCCAATTAGATTTACTGTTGATAGCTCTGAGTTGTGTGATAGTTTCATGCAATCAACGACAAGTGGAAGAGTTTCTGTAGCTATGGACTTCTCAGAGAGTTCCCTGCCTCTTTCAACGCCACCAGGACCGGGTTCTTGATCAGCAGTATCACATTCATCGCTTTCTTCAAATTCAAAATCATAAGGATCATCCTCGTCACTGACCCAAGTTTGCCTGTTAGCTGGAGCTGTATGTATAAAAACAATAAATTATCAATACTATAATTTCATATAAGTCACTAACTAAAACTCATTCAAACTAGGTAATGGTGTATTATTAGTCATACAGTGTACATGAATGCATTAGTAGTATAAGTACAGGGTTATTCTTACTTTGCTTAAGTTTAGCAAGTTGGAATTCTCCTATCCAATCCTCTCTTGCTAGCTTTGACTCAAACATGAATATCTGATGACTACGCATGCCATCACTGTAACAATAATAGGGATAGAAAGTTTTAAATTACATTCTACAAAGTTTAAGATTTTATACAAGTATAAAAAAGGCCTCCCTCTATTTTAGTGAGCAAGTAGAATCCATAATGTACCATTATAGAAGGTAATTTTAGAGGGGATTTTTAATTTTTGGAGAATTTATGAGGTCATGTGCCATTGAGATTTTAATTTAGTGAATGACAATCAGAACATCAAATTTTCAAAATTTATCCCCACCAAAATTACCTGCTAAACGGTAGTTAGCATTTGATATGTTTCAGTTAGGAAAAGTGGTATCAATGATGATGCATATGTACATGTATATGTCATACCATATAAATAATGTTTACATGCCTGGCTGAACCCAATAATTAAAGCGACTCAAAATTTGGCTAAAAACCCTGGACTAATAATTAGGATATTACCTTCCTGGTATGGTAATGTCAACACGTGTTGGTTCACAGCAACTTCTTATTAACTCGTGACTTTGTTCCAGTTTCCTTTGAAGGACTCTACAAGAGTTCTGAACACTAGCCATGCTAATACCCTATTATAGCAAGGAGCTAAAATTAAACGACTCAAAGCAAAAAAACAATAACAATTTCAAGCTACTATAACAATGGGATCAGATCAAATGGCAAATATGATAAGACAATTTTGACTAAAATTGAAGTTTTATAAATTTTAAAGCCATACAATAGTATTTCATCAAAAAATACTAAATTAATTTTCTTTAATCTAACTTGCCAAACTTAATTCTTGGCCAATAAATTCTGTTATATGGTAGCTTCAACCTATTCCTATTTCAGTGCATGTACTTCCACTACAGAATGCTCCTTACTTCATAAGGTCGACTGAGGGAAGCAATCAGTCCACCGATTCTATAAAGATGCTCAAAGTCCTGATTGAGCTTCTTCATCTCGTCCTTGAGCTCATCATACTTTCCCCTCAACTGAGCATTCTCATCTATCACAAAGAAATAAAGTGCAATTATATCATAATTATCAGTAATAATTATTATCATTGCAAAGTAACAATCAACATCATGAAAACAATACATAAAGAAGAGCAGAAAAGGAGAGCCCTATAGATGTTAACCTTGTGATCCTCCTATGACTATAGTGTTTGTTTCCTTCATGTAGTCCGGATCAGTGAGTTCAACATCAGTTATAGGGCAAGACCACTTGTACTTTAAATTAAAAGCTGAAGAGTCCCCACTAAAAAAACAACAAAAAAGATAATAATAAATAATAATGGAAGCGATTGGGGAAATAGAGATAAATTTTTTTTTGCACAAGGCAAAGAGAAATGAATATAAGAAAGTGAAAGGAATAAAGGAGGTTATACCTAATGACATGCTCAGCTTCAATGACTGAGGATCTGTTACTGACGCTTGTCTTCCTTAGCTTGGGCTGCTTTACAGAGCAACACACAATCAGATAATCAAAGAGGAACAGCAAACGCTCTTTAAATATCCATTTACCATCTTTAAGACTCTAAAAAGGTATAACACTCTATTCCACTCTTCTCACATTATTGCATTGCTAGAAATATTTGCTGAAACTTCAATCATAAAAATGAACAATTTGATTCTACAAAGCACTAATATTTGATGGCACTAATGGCTCACACCTATACCAGCAAAAATAAATTCTGCATGCACTAAATTTTGCACTATTAAGGAACAAAATCATAAAAATATAAGCTCCAAAATACTTCCCAATGTTTCTAGTCATTATCTATCCACTCTCTCCTCATCCTTTCCCTTCAATCATTACCGTCCATTGTATCATGTCTTGTCTATGCAGCCTCTGGTTCTTAAGTAACAGATTGTGTGGTAGTCTCTCCAATGCAGTGTTCAGGTATTGGACAATGGTTAGCTGTTCCGAGCGTCTCTTTGCTTCGTTGAGGTAATTGGCAATTCCCTCAATATGGGCCTCAGCCATTTCCAAGACAATACTGTCAGGATGAGTGGTAGGAGTGTACTTAATTAGGTCCTACATGAAGTATTGAATGCTCATAAAATAAATTTATAGAGAATTTTAGTTAATTTAGGGCATTGATGTGCATCAAAAATACGATAAAATTAAAGAATCAGTTTACACATGTGGTATATTGTATATTTTTAAAAGCTAGTTACAACAATATGATCTGTTACATGTATAATATACATTTAATTGAAACCAATTATATGTAACTGAACCAAATCTCTCATTCATCATAATCATACCTTCAGAAATAAAAGGTATTGAAAAAATCTCTGAATTGGCTTAAGCAATAAAGCCTGAAGACTCAACTGGATTCCGCTAGTTTTCATTTGCCTTTTAAGAAACTCAAAAAACCTCTGCTTCTTTTTGATAGCCTTCTCCAGTATGTTCATAGCCACAGTAAAGTTATTAACATACTTGCTGTAATGCCTTACAACATCTCTTCTACTGAACTATAAATTAAAAACAATAATAATACATAACACTGAAATATCATATATTGGTGGGCTTTGTTTTGGCATATGGCTAGTAAAAAGCCAAATTTGCCAAAATTTCCAAAATTGCCAGATGTAGCTCACCGAAGCTAAAAACACATCACCAATCTGTTTAGCTGGTGACCAGTTCTTTGTCTGCTCACAAAGAGCGGCAAAGAAGAGCTCGTGATGCTCCAGTAGAGTACCAATGGGACCAAAGAGGTGCCTTATATCATCAAGAGTTAGTTCAGTGCTCACATCAGTTTTCAGAGGCTTCCTATATAGCTATAAAATATTGTAAATAAGTGGATATTATAGTTATTAAATTTTATACCTCTATGGCAATGTTGAGAGAAGTAAGGAAGGATGCTTCAGACTCTAATAGATTCTCTATCACTTTATATCTCTTTTTCTAGTGAATGAGTGAAAGTACAATTATTATGCACTGTACATGTGTGATTGTGATAGAATTTGATATGACAACAGTGTAGTGTGTAGTACTCATGCCACTATCTCATGATAAGGCTAAGAAAACTGTTGGAGTGATTACTAATTCTTATTCAAAAGAAAGCTGATTGCAGTAGAAAAAGGCGTGACTTGACTTTTTTCAATATTAGACTATTTTATCTTAATATTAAAGATAAAGTTTGCAATTTGATATTCATCAACCTCATGACGTATTGTGTAGAGTACTTATACAATGCAATCATTACCTCATTCTCAGGTAGGAGTTCATCAATAGGTGGTAGTGGTGGTGCTCTGACTATATTATCAATATAAGTGACTGTTGTAGGACGAACGTCAATCCTATTAGCAATTGAGTCAGAATGAGGTCTGGATTTTGGTGATACTGATATCTGAGCACGTCGATGTGGATGAGGCTCTAGAATAAAAATACGTGATGCAAGAAACTGTTACTGTTATGCATTAATTTAACATTAGAGAATAAAAATAATTATGCTGCATTAATATAAATAAAGCTTTACCATTATCTAGACAGTATCAGTAATTGATATGTGCAAAACTGAGTGAGTTAAATATTCAGCATGTAATGCTTATGTACTTATGATGCATGTGTAATGCATGATAAGCCTAACTCAAAGAGTATAGCTTTACCTGTTCTTGTTGATTTTCCTCTCCCAGCTCCAGTGATAGTATTGTTTGGATCATAAGGAGTCTCTGGAACTATGTCTGAGCTCTTTGCGACAATCATTACAGAGAGCTCATCCAGGGCTGCATTTTGACCCTCAAGATTAGATGTCATGAGTATAGAGCTAGGTAGTATTTGCATAGGACCACCTGTAGCCTCCTCTTCTGGGATAAGACCCTGCAGAACTCCCTGCAGACATAATGAGCCAATAATGTCAATGGTGGTATCTCTTTTATCTCTTAATTGGGTGATGGGAACCCCTACTGGCTCTTCTTCCTCATACTCAGAATCGGTGTCGGAGAAAGAGTCAACAAAATCATCAATGTTACTGTAAGGGTTATCAGTTTGACTGGAATAAGAGGAATTGAAGAGAGAGGAGTGAGAGAGATGGGAGACAGAAAAAATTAGGAAATGCATGATTATGGAAAGAAATGCATGATTATTATATATAGTTACTAAATTAATAATAAAGTATTGGAGAATCTCTTTACCCAGGGTAAAACTCCATTCCTTCTGTGTATGGGTGTCTGTCCAGAAGTGATGAAGGGTCATCGAACTCTTCGCTGTAGCTGTACTTGTCTAGAACCTTGAGGTCAGAAAGTTTTGCATAGCCACCCTCCTCTTCACTAAGACTCAGAGTGACCTCTTCATACACTCCTAGTCTTCTTTGCCGACCATTAGCACCTTGCTGGAGATTTTGCTCAGCCATAACAGAGGAAGCCAAATGAAACACACTACGCCCACTTCTTCTGCCAGAGCCACACCCATGAGCTATGCAAATTAACAAAGCATCATGATCACGATCATCACTTGCACTATGATAGCTCAGTCATATCCAGCTCATATCCTATATACTTGACCAGGGGAGCCACCTGGGAAAATCCCTCCTGTTTCCTTTATAAAAGTTGTAAATGTGACATAATAATAATTAAAAGAGAAAATAAATAAAAATTGAAAAAATTGTTATAAAGTGTTAAAATTAGATGTGCAATCAATAAAATGGTGCAAGTATGATAAAACAATAGCATGGAGATCTTATGTGTTTAATTTTGTTTACTGAAGATGCAAGGATGCCTCATGAGTGCAGCTAGATTTAGTGTAGCTATTTTTATAATCTGACATCTAGATCTAAATGTTCAATTTATTGAAAGCTATGTTGGATCTGGGATATTCTACATGGTAGGCAGCAGACACTCTGAATCTCAGGATTGATGGTAGATCTAATCATGGTACCATTGTAGTACCTATGATGGTGCCATGCATGGTATCATGCATGCGAGTCTCAGCGCTGCCTCCAGGCCCTCCACGCCCCATAAATTGCGCTAGGTCAGCTTTTATTGTCTCCTGTTACCAAACCATAGATTATCACTCTTGTTTTTTCTCTCTCTCTTCTTTGGCAGTTTCTTATAGCAACATGTGTACTACTTCTAACTAGGTTTTTATAAAACCTAGTTATTGCTTCAACTGGTCTCGATCGCTGGGATTATTTGGAGTAAGTCCCAAACATAATATATACCCTATTATAGTTCTTTTTGTGTAGGATACCTCACTCGCACTGACTTTTTCTTCTGCAAAAACTTGTGCGTATTAAGACTACATTAGCAAAACTAGAATAACGTAGAAACTCCGTAATTTTAGAATAGTCTTACACAGTACTGTAGTGATAGCCATTTTAATTTTGGATCCGCCTTTTCCTCACCTTTTCGACTTCAAAACAATCAAATAATATAATACTAAGCTCAATGCCAGGTTACAAAGCTACTTTCTTACAAGAACTACAAAGACGTCACCAGTGTCGTATTTGCTCTCTCGCTCTTCGTGTACCGATGCAAACCGAATGTGGCCACCTGTTTTGTAAAGAATGTGTCGAGCCGATTTTCCGAGAGTCTCAGCCATTGTGTCCGGTAGATCAAGAACCAATATCAAGAGAGGATGTATGTTGTGTAATAAAATTCCATTTTAAAAGTAATAATTAATATGATTCTGCTGATGTTAGTTGTGTGTGGGTAGGGAAGGGGATTCCCCTGGGAACCCCCCTACCAGAAATGTGAATAACACACATTACCATGTTTGTATAGACTCTGTCTTTGATCTCATTATAGACCTTCCCTGACAATGCATGCAAGAGAGAGATCCTTGGACTCCTAGTCTATTGTGATCATAGAGACTTGGGATGTGACTGGACTGGAGAATTGAAGAAACTAGAGGTACTAATATTATCTATTACAGACTATTGCTCATTTTGTTGCTTATTTATTTATACTTATCTGTTATAAAATCATTATTATTTTATTATCAACATAATAATTTATTGTGCACGCACACATACAGGCCCATCTTTTAGATTGTAGGTATAGAGAAATACAATGTACTCAATGTGGTCAGCTAGTTCCATGCGCTAAGCTAGAAAACCATGAACGAAATGAATGCCCCATGAGACCCTCAGTGTGTGAACATTGTCTGAGTAAAGTACCCGTGGAACAGCTTGAGGTGTGTGTGTGTGATTATTATATACAAGCATATGCTGATGATGGGTGTTCCACTATTAGGCACATATCCAGAGGGTTTGCCCAAAATATTTAAGATCATGCCCAAATAGCTGCAATGAAAAGAAATATTTACTATCAGAGGTAACTTAACTTTCATCATAATGGGGCAAGTACCACTTACTTCTGTGTGTGTCCATATGTAGCTACAACAACATCTAGACATGAAAACTGGTGACTGCCCACTTGAAATAGTAGAATGTCCCTATTTCCCACTAGGCTGTCCATTTAAAGTACGTCTCTCCTCTCTTTATCATTCAATTGCTACTTACATGTACTTGTAGCATCCCAGAAAAGAGATCGAGCATCATATGAAAACTAAGAAGGTTTTCCATACTCGCCTCCATGTTGACACCACCGTAGCATGTAAAAGGGAAGCTACCGAGACTAAGAAAAGAGCTGAAGAACTGATAGGTAGGATGAGTATTATAGAAACAAAGAGTGTAGCACTTGATCGAAAGCTGAAGTCATTGGAAAGTGATATTGAGAGAGCCAAAGGATCTTCTGAAACTGATAGGTAAGGAAGCATGAGGAAAAATCTGCTCTAATTTGGATCGTAGTATACTACAACTGGATTACTATTACAAGTTTGAAGCAACTTTAAAAATCCAATTTTAATCCTAAAATTGCTACATGTACATCACATAAATGTAACAATATGTGTTAGTGATCAGAAATGTGGAAAATAGAATTACATATAAATTGAGAGTTTTTTCTTGCTACCGTATAGCTTGATATTTTCGTGGGTCGATATTTTCGTGGTTTGCTCCTAGTGGGCCAATTCATGGTTTAATTTTCATGGTTGACAGTTTACATAGCCTATAAGGGGATGACATTTCAATGATTTCGTGGGTTTAAATTTCGTGGTCAGCCCATAACCATGAAAACCACGAAATTTACATTCCACGAAAATTTTAAGCTATACGTATTAATTTTGATAAAAGTACACTTACCATTTGCACTATGTTTGGCCACTTTTCCTCTGAAATTTAATTGATAACCCTGTGACATATTATTGATAATTATTATTACACCTCACGTCTGCATATTTTTAACTATTAACTAATATTTATAAAGTGGTAATCTCTTCTCCACAGGTTGATATTAAAGGTGAATGCTTTAGAGGAAAAAGTCGCGAGACTACAATACAGTGACAAGACTAACTTTTTCTCCCATAGCCATCATGGTGGTGGACACTCCGTTCCTTCGTCACACTTGCTTCAACAAGTCGATCAGCTTTATAGTAAAGTATCAGAATTAGACACCACTGTAACACAGTGCATCTCCAATAGCATGGAAACCGACATGCGACTACAGTTTGTGGAGAGAGCTTCATATAATGGGACGATGCTTTGGAGGATTGACAACTTCTCGCAGCACAAACAAGAGGCAATTGATGGTACTACTCTCTCGCTCTACTCTGTTCCTTTCTACACGAGCAAGCAGGGATACAAGATGTGTGCTCGTGTTTATTTGAACGGAGACGGGCTAGGGAAGGGGACCCATCTGAGTCTCTTCTTTGTGGTCATGAGAGGTCCTTATGATGCTCTTCTTCCATGGCCTTTCGAGCAGAAAGTCACCCTAGTTCTTCTGAATCAGACTCCTGGAAAGAGAAATATAGTTGATCAGTTTAGGCCTGATCCTCAGTCTAGTTCATTTCAGAGACCTGTCAAGAGAGAAATGAACATAGCCTCTGGTTGTCCTCGTTTTTGCAGGTAGCTTTATATTGCATTGGTTGTTTCACATGGTTTGGTAAACTGGTGAATTATTTGTAAATGGGCACTCTTTATAATATTTGCAAGGTGTTTTGAAATATTTAAAGTTTATTATTTGTTTCTCTATCTTCTATTTTACTTGACAGGCTAGAACAGCTGAAAGATGGCTACATTAAAGACGATTGCATATTTTTGGGCATCATTGTGGACACAAGCAATCTTAAACTCCCAGTCTCAACAGCCTTCTAAGCCAAGGACATAAGTCTATATTAACTATGTAATCATCAATCCACTCATGTATTCACATAGGGCGCCTTCCATCATTGTGCTTATTCATTATATTATTACATTGTTGTAATCGAGAAGAGAAAAGGTTTTTTAGAATGTATTGTTTTAATTTTAACAAAAATAATAAAAAGTGTGATTTTGTGGTCATTTTCTTTTGGTATTAGATTTCGAAGATGACGGGATACCTCCCCACAACTGCATCAACTCCTTAGCAAAGTACGAGGCAGTGAGATTTACTCCAATAATGAGGAATGCTTCAATTAGCCTCAGAACGTGGTGAGAGGCAATGCCACCTGTCCACAAGTAACAGTACAGTGTAAATCCCATGGGGAAGATACCCAGTAGAGAGGAAGAGACCCCATAAATGTTGATGAGGGTTATGTTGTTCCTTTGTAGCGAGGTCCATCCGGCAGGGATACTGATACAGTATCCAAGAACTGCCAGTAGAGAGGGGATGTCCCATGTAACGAGTGCTACCGTGACAGTGAAGGCCCAGCAAAAGACCTGGATAACAATGAGTCTTTGCAAGACTTTCTTCAGCTGTGGGCTCCTCTGGTAGCGAGATGCGACTCTCTCCCTGTGACTGAAATCACTGCCATCAGTACCCAGGGCTCGTTTACCTGAACTGGACGCCATTTTGTCATTGATGGGAACCAAAAATGGTAAGGGTAGGATTAGACTAAGGCGTGTTTAGCGTGGGCGTAGCACTATCAAATTCATTCGCTGAATAGCAAACCATTGCAGTTTGCAGACTTCAGGCAGAATCAGGCTTTGCTCTACTGCCCCTTGTTCTTGTGGCTGCAGCTCTCTCTTGCTGTAGTAGTAGTAGTGTGCTGTAAAGTCTATTGATGCGCTTGCAGCAACTCTCAAGAGCTTTTCTACCACTCATTGGAGGGAGGGGTATCCATTGTTCACGTGTTCTCAAAAGAATGGACGTTCCACCACCGAGCAGTATTCTCAATCCACTTCATCACGAAGAAATCACTTTATTTGGTCCTGGCCCTACCAATACAGCTCCCAGAGTTTGTCATGCTTCTTCACTGCAGACCTTTGGTATATTCAATCCTCCTATGGTTGATCTAATGAAAGAAGTTCAGGAAGGCCTCAGGTATCTCTTCCAGACTAAGAACGAGTTAACTTATGCTGTCAATGCTTCTGGTATGGCTGGGATGGAAACTGCTTTGACTAATCTCCTTGAGCCTAAGGACAGACTGATGAGTCTTACTAATGGCTGCTGGGGAGGGATCGCTGCTGAAGTGGGAGAGAGATGTGGTCAGTGAGGAGATAGCAACAGATAGTCTCGCAAGCCAGACCCTTCCCGCCTGCAGTCATTGGGGTGGATAGCCGGGTGACTGTAGGCTGGGGAATGGTCTGGCTAGCGAGACTAAGGAATGGAGGGGAAGGGAGGAGGAGAGAAAGAGAGAGAATCAATACATTGCCCCACCTATAAAGCTTTGGGTGAACATCAAGCATGATGACAAGGGGGTTAGTGTGACTGACAGCAGCAGAAAAAGAGTGGGGGGGAAGTTTAGGGAACTGAAGTAGGCAAGGCTTCATTGTTTGTCTTTTCTAGGAGCAATTGTTACAAAATTGGAGCATCCTCCTGGTGTGCCTTTTTCATCAGATGAAGTTGAAAAGGTACATAATTGTAATGCTGATTAATGAAACTGACAATAATGAATAATAGGCTCTTAAAGAACACAAACCTCACGTATTATACGTAGCACAGAGTGAATCATCAACTGGTTTACTGCAACCAGTGGAGAAACTAGGATCTATATGTCACCAGTTAGTCTATATAATGGCATTGCTTTACACCTTTTATTTTAAGATGTACTTATACAGTTACTATACATGAATGCATTTTGAATTGTACATTAAATGTACCTATAAAATACTTCTCTTTAGGAATAATTGCTTGTTAGTAGTGGACACTGTAGCATCACTAGGAGCAGCTCCTTTCTTTATGGACAGATGGGGTATACATGTTGAACATTATGTATTATTGTATCATTAATGTATAATAGAGGTTGATGTAGTGTATAGTGCAACACAGAAAGCCATCAGTTGTCAGACAGGACTAGCACCAATATCATTCTCATCTCGTGCCAGGTAACATCAACAAAAAATTTTAACATCAACAAAAAATTTTAACATTGACAAAAAAATTTAACATTTGACAAAAAATTTTAACACTGACAAAAATTGTTTTACAGTACTGAATTTGTGAAAGTTAGCACTTTTACAAATTGTTCAAACTAAGCCTAAGGCGTATAAATTTTAATATTTCTTGTGTAATCTTTTTAATATGTGAAATTGCATGTGGTATCATTTTAAAATTACTATTAATATGTTTAGAGAGAAGATAGCATCCCGCAAGACTAAAGTCCAGTCTTATGTATTTGATGTCAATAAGAATATGGTGCAGTGGGGAGTAGATGGTGTAGCCAAGAAGTAAGCAGCTAATGAATTTTATGCATACTCTGCAATAACCATCTCTGGGGAGTAAATTCTAAGTCTTTTTACTCACAAATATTTAGCCAAAGTAGTATACTTTTTATTTTTCTATTGAAGGTATCATCACACTTACAGTTCAACGCTGCTGTTATCACTGAGGGAAGCTCTCTCAATGATAGCTGCTGAGGTATGAGCTATATCAATAATAGTGTCTGCATCATTGCCTTATAGGGACTAGAGCAAATGTGGAAGAGGCACTCTGAAAATACCAAGAGACTATGCAATGGGATTGAGGAGTTAGGACTGGAACTTTTCATCAAAGATCCTGTTAGTGTTTTATGGCAAATGCATTGCATGTTTACTAGATGAATGTGTATGCACTATGGTAGTTTGTACAGGGTTTTTCACGAAGTGTGCTAAGTGAGCTAAACAGCACACTTGATGAGCAGCTAGTTTATGGCACATGGCATTTGGATCAACTTTTAAAAATTCATAACAATTAAAAATTGATCAGAATCAGCTCACAAATGATACGCAACATAAGGACATGTATGTGTATCTGAAAAAAATTATAAAAATGAAAACTTTTCTCTTTGTGATTTTTGTCAAAATAAAGAGTTTTACGATCACTGACAAGAAGCTTCATGACTCATGAGCACTATGCAAAAAAAATCCTGTGGGAAACTCTGTTCCCTGTGTCTGTATAGGTCCTTTAAATTATATATTTATATTATTATTTATTTTTTAGGCATACCGTCTACCAACAGTAACTGCTATATGTATACCTGAAGGGGTGGAGTCCCCTGGCAGCCTCAATGCATATTGCATGGAGAAGTGAGTTAGTACACGACGGGTAATCTAAAATGACATATTCAGTTAAATTATTTTGTGCAGTGTATTTTGATATATTAAAAATTGTTTAAATTTGCTTGAGCAAATTTTGACACTATGCTTCTGTAATTGTACTGGATTTTTTTATTAAAACGCAAAATTTGGCTGGATGTATTGAAGGTTTTTTATATATTGGCATTTGACAAGTTATTTTTTATAGGCATAAAGTTGAGTTTGGTGCTGCTCTACCTCCTCTAGTAGGCAAAGTAAGAAATAATAGAAAAGATTCTTGAATAAGAATAATAATATTATTCTTATTACTAATTATTGTTAGGTGTGGCGTATTGGTATAATGGGTTATAATTCAACTGAATGGCATACCAATAAAGCATTGAGTGTCTTTAAAGACGGACTCCTTCATATTGGATACACTCCTAAAGCTGCTAAAGTGAAGGCTGAACTCTAAAATGTAAATAATAAATTGTGGGATTTTTAGTGATTTATGTGCTGTCTTTAATTTATATTATACTTTTGAGTACACACTATATGGGTGTACAATGTACATGTATTTCATTGAAATAGCTTATAAATTTTTATTGTATTTTCCTGATGCTTCCACAAAGTCTAAGAAAGTGAATCATTTAAAAGCATGTACGTGTGTTATATTATCATAATGATGTATCTGAATGTGAAATCAGTACTGAATTTGGAATTGGACCTACTGGTATATTGGATATATTATTATGTGTATCTATAATATAGATGTCTTGTTGCAGCACAATATTCAACCATGGATCATAGCAATCCTCTCAATTCTTAAAATGGTTGTAACTTTAAAAATTGAAATCAGAATCACCTCAAACTTTCTACACAGCATAAGGACATCAATATGTATCAGAAAATGTAATAAAAATTTGAGGTGATTTTGGAGCCATTTTTTGGAAAAAACCATGGGCATTTCAGAATTTTAGCATTTTAAAAAATGGCCGTAACTTGAAAAATTGAAGTCGGAACCAGCTCAAACTTTCTACACAGCATAAGAACATCAATATGTATCAGAAAATGTAATAAAAATTTGAGGTGATTTTGAAGCCATTTTTTGGAAAAAACCATGGGCTATAGCCTTGGGTATTTTTTAGATTTTTGATGTTTTCTTAAAATGGCCGTAATTTGAAAAATTGAAGTCAGAATCACCTCAAACTTTCTACACAGCATAAGAACATCAATATGTATCAGAAAATGTAATAAAAATTTGAAGTGATTTCGAAGCCATTTTTTAGAAAAAACCATGGGCTATAGCCTTGGGTATTTTTTAGATTTTTGACGATTTCTAATGGCCGTAATTTGAAAAATTGAAGTCGGAATCAGCTCAAACTTTCTACACAGCATAAGGACATCAATATGTATCAAAAAATGTAATAAAAATTTGAGGTGATTTTGGAGCCATTTTTTGGAAAAAACCATTGCTCCCCTGGTCTTCTCAGCTGTAGGTGGCTTTGCACCAATTGCTGGTGCCTTCATCAAACGTTTAGCCTTACTGCATGCTGAGAGACTAGGGAAGCAGTACAACACGCTCCTTTACTTCTTAAGATGTGAGATTTCTTTCTCCCTTATTAAGTCCACAATAAGGTGCTTGAGAGGTTCTCGTTCCTCATATTCCAGCCCACCATCCCAGCCCTGTCTGGAGGACATGTCTCGTATCATCTCTGATGCAAGGCTTTCTATTTAAACTATCATATACCCACTATTATTATTATTATCATATTATTATTATTATTACTATTGTACTATGCGTTTAGTTCTTGTGTTATTTTATTATTAGGCTAATATATTATTATTATGTTCTTTTGTGTAAGTTACCATATCTTTTTCAATGAGATTTGAGGGTGATGACCCGATTTAAATGGGCTATAGCCTTGGGTATTTTTCAGAATTTTAGCATTTTAAAAAAATTGCCATAACTTGAAAAATTGAAGTCGGAATCAGCTCAAACTTTCTACACAGCATAAGGACATCAATATGTATCAGAAAATGTAATAAAATTGAGGAAATCCTTCGCTTTAAATTTTGGTAAAAATTGACCATTTTTATTTTTGTTTAATTCTTTAATTTTTTAAATATTTTAAACCACTGCTTGAAAATGCAATGTTGCTTTTTTCGTCTTGAGACACAATCAGTAATAATTATTAGTAATTAATATTATTGCGAAACAATACCAAAATAATAGTAAACGAAAACAATTAATGTATTCAATATTTCACCAAAACAATTAATGTGTAACACAAAAATCTTAATGAGTTACAAAGTGAGAAAGAAAGAAATAAAGAAAGCAAGAAAAAGTTGTTAGATAAAATCAGGGGACACTCTTCCCAGTTCTTCCTCTTTCAAATGAATGTTCTTAACAATCTTATACTGGTGTCCACTTAATGTCACTCCCATCCTTTGGAGGTCGTCTTCACTCAGCCCAAAGCAATCTGCTACGTTGTATAAGCCTTTTGCATGAAATATATCTATGTATCTCGTCATCCCAATTGAGCCTAATAATTCGTCTATTGAGTCAGCAGCTTTATTGTTTCCATTAGGAGCAGAAGAGTTTGAAGTAGTAGGAGGAATAGGCCTGTTAGGAGACTGAAGATGAGCTGGCTTAGGTTTTGGCTTTGGTTTTCTACAAAAAAATACAAACAAAAACAGATAATATTTATAAGCTAAAAATACTAATTTTCATGCTCTGCTTTGATGAAGAAATTTCTATTCAAAATCAAGTAGCAAAACTTAGCGTTTCTGCTTACCCAAAAAGTATGACTTCAAAGCATTCGACAATGTTTTCAAAAGTGGGTCTCTCTGAACGCTCAATGTTCCAACAGGCTTGCATTATCTTGTAGAGATCATCAGGACATCCCTACTCAATGTAAAAAATTAATAATAATAATAATTGTTGCATGTAACCCCCAAATAAGTATGTGTACATGCAGGGTTCTGCCTAGAAAAAATTAGAGGTGGTTGTAGACTAATATTGTTCCTTTTAAATTAACATACAGCATACTAGTAGACTACAATATCATGCTTTATGCATGGCTATTAGTATTAATTGCATGGTTGGTCTAAGTGATGAACTGATTGTTCATTTGTTGCCCAACCACCCCCAACCACCATAGGCAGAACTATGGTACATGTAGTGGACGTACTCTCGGTGGGTGAAGTCTTTCTCCATTTTCTAGTCTTTGAAATATTGTTGCGTTGTCCCATCCATCATATGGTGTTTCCCCAAATGAGAATGTCTCCCATAGGAGCACACCATAGCTCCATACATCACTCGCTGTAGTGAAGCTTCGATGAGATATAGCCTCAGGGGCAGTCCAGCGTACAGGGATCCTCCCACCCTATATAATGTATGTACAGTGTATGAGTCACTGAAAGAATTATCAATTTTTTTCTGATACATTTTTAAAGCCAATTCTAATAAAAATTGGATTTTTATGGGTTTTAAAGTTGCCCATTTTTACAGCAAAAAAAAATTAATTTAAGCAACGTTATTTTACAGCCTAGTACATACATGTACATTAAACAAAATGGCAATGTAATTTTGTGTAATAATAAATGCACAAATGTACATGTAAATAAATGTATGTAAATGTACATTCAGACTTGCTTACATTAAAAAATACTAATACACATAATTAAAAAAATTCATTCAACTGCATATTGGCCTGCTATCAAATTTAAGGACATTTTATGCTTCAAAGAAGACAACTCTACTACTAGAGCTCTGAGTATAGCCTCACCTTCTGGACATCATACTCATTCTCAACCATTTCCCTTGCCAGACCAAAGTCAGCTACTTTACACGTCTCATCGTTAGCAACCAAAATATTACGAGCAGCCAAATCCTGCGAAAAAAAAAAATTCAAAGATGAAGTAAAATTTTGTAAATGTATTACATAAATTAAGTTACTCTATTCCCTGTACGTGTGAATGCGCGTGTGTTTAAAAGACTCACTCTGTGTACGAATCCGATTGAAGAAAGGTATTTCATTCCTTTTGCTACTCCGTACGACATTTTCGATAGCCTTTCATGACTAATCTTATCCAAATTTTTCTAATAAAAAAGCATAAATAATACTACTGATAATATAAAACATAAATTTATACTGCTACGATCATAATTACATACTATCATTAAACATACATGTATATACTATTGAAACTGTAATGTAGTACTTACCTGAAGGTATCGATCCAATGATCCGTTCTGCAGGTATTCCATTACAATCATAACTGGATCAATACGACTAATGACACCATAAAGTACAACAACATTATCATGATGGAACTGTCCCATCACTACAAGAGAAAAGGGAGAGAGAGAGGGGGGAGAGAGAGGGAGGGAGAGAGAGAAAAAAATGACAATATGAGCTGCTTGTTATCAAAGACAATAATCAAGGTGTGTAAAACAATGTTCTTCCATGAGAAGCATGCCCCAGCACACACAAGATAAGCCCAGGGTTTCCCACAGGATTTTGACACAGTGCTTAGCTTCTTATCAGCTGGTTTTTTTGAAGTTGCTCAAAAATTTGACAAAAAAATACCATACTGGATTTGTCACATTTCATCAAACATGGCAAAGGTAGAATTTTTATTAAATTTTCTGATATGTTCGTATGTTGTGTAGAAAGTTTGAGCTGATTCCGATCAAATTTAGATTTTTAAAAAATTTTTGAAGTTGCTCCAAAATTGGGTAAAAGTCCCTGTACTATAGTACACGGTCTCGGTGTAAATTTTCCCAAAATTAAAAAGGAGAGAATCTTCCATATAAAAATTTTTTCTGATACATATACATGTATAGGTGCACATGTTCTCATAATGTGGATATAGAAAAATTTAAAGTTGCTCCATATAAGCATGCTTTTAGCTCACTTAGCAGAAACCCTGACTATAAACTAAACCCTAATATCAAACAAATTAATATTCCCTGGATACTAAAGCATTATTTCCCAATAGCTGACAACGTCTCACTCCTCCACTACAACTCAATGCCTTTGTGTCACTCTCAAGTTACAAGATTATTATATTGATAGTACTGTGGCTACTTGTTGTACACACAATTATTAAAACTATGATTACATTAGATGATGCTTGATTAGATTTTTTATCTTTGGAGTAACCTAGCTGCTAGTAATTAATGCAGCAGGAATGAGCAAAGGACAAGTACAAAGCAACAAACAAACAGCTTAATAATTAAATACATACCACAAAATAACTACAAACTACAACTCTATAGCATGATTTTACTCCTATGCTATGTAGTACAAAGATCATGTGCTGCTTCTAATCACTAGAGCATAGTGATGACAAGTAGCCACACGCTACAAATATTGTGGAAGACCAGCAAAAACAATAAACACACACACAAAGTCACATACATGTGTGTATACGTGTATGTATGCACCACAAAAATATTTAATTAGAGTACTATGAACAAGGGCAAGGCATAACTGACTAATTGTTTATTACAATATTAATATAGACAGTACTATACATACATGCATGTACAGTACATGATATTATTATGTACCAGTATGCACGCATGTACATGTACACATAATTGGCTAAATATACTAGCTCAATACTGTCTATATGTAAGTTCATGTACATCCTAAATTCCTTTCCTTACCTGATGCTTCAAATAAGAAGTTGCTCCTTTGTTCATCAGTAGCTCCACCTCTTAGAGTCTTGACTGCTACTGGGATGTTCTTAAGGGTCCACACGCCTTTATAGACCAGACCAAACTCACCTATTCAATTAAGAAAAACCTCAATGCATTCACATAATGTCATAATAGCAGTCTTAAATCATGTACAATCACTGCTACTAGTATAGATCTAGAAATAAGTTTTAAGGAGACTAAAAGCTCAAAATGGGAGATTTTAGGAGACCTAGGCCAAATACAGGAGACCAAAAATCTCCTAAACTCCCTCTAGATATACATGTAAATATAAACTACTGGATAAAACAAGGGATTGCATTTCATTCCGAGCATTCTACAGTTACAAGTGTCACATGCCTTGTTATACACCTGCCACCCAAGAGAAGTATACCACATTCCATTGTAGCATGTAACAATGAAAAGCTGTCAGACTATACACATTAACATGAATAAAGGTATCATTATGCTACTCAAGTTTCATTTAATGGACAGGTTTATATACATGTACATGTATGTTACAAATTGCTATGCAAATTTCCCATGCAGCACACACTGTCATTGTTCATGTATATAGTGTGTATTACAGGCATAAGGAGATCAATGTGACTGTATTGGAAAATGTAATGAGAATTGCAAGTACCCACTACCTAAGACTGTCAGTCTTCACTTATAGGATTCTGCCTGGAAAAAAATCAGAGGTGGTTGGAGACTAATATTGTTCCTTTTACATTTATGTACACCATACTAGTAGACTACAATATCATGCTTTATATATGGTTATTAGTATTAATTGGATGGTTGGTCTAAGTGATGAACTGGTTGGCTCAGTTGTTGAGGTGGTTGTCCCAACTACCATGGACAGAACTATATGCACTTACCAACTCCGATCTCTTCCAAATTAGCAATCTCCTTTGGAGGTATTTCCTTGACTCTGTTCTGCTCAATAGCGTGATTCATGGATGCGTATGTTCTTGGGTCGATGTACATTCGATTAGGATTATTACTAGGTGGTGGGAGAGTCCCTAGCTCGATATTTGTGTCACTCTCATCATGGTTGTAGCCGGAATTAGCCACACCTAAGTAAGCAGAGAACACATTGGGACATACTCCAGCCACAAATCATCCCAAAATGTAATTAAAGGAATCCACAGACCAAATATTACACACGTACATATACATATATGCATATAATCTCAAGTCAAAACATGTGGCGATTATGAGCCACACATCAAAAAGTCCCGGCCTCTACTACATGTACATGTACTACAGGCAATGAGGTATTGTACATGTACATGTATGCTGTCCCTAATATAGTACATACATGTACATGTACATGTACTACAGGCAATGAGGTATTGTACATGTACATGTATGCTGTCCCTAATATAGTACATACATGTACATGTACATGTACATGTATATTATGCATGTACATGCACATGCACATATGCTTTACATATTTAACATACGTGATCCATACTCACTGTATGTGCTCTTTCTTCTAGTACTAAATATCATAAAAAAGATTAAAAAAAACAAAATAATTATGTGACAAAGATACAAGTCTTATTTCTTACTTGGTGTAAAAACAAATGACAAAGAGTAAAATCACTATAGCAACCACGATGATCACGACAAGGACTACACCAATGGATGCTCCAGCTACTACTGGAAATAAATCAGAAGAAGTACTGGAATCTAAAATATAAAAAAAAAGAAAAAAAATATAACAAAATAAAGTGAAGGCTGCTCTATTTAATCTGTCTAGTATGATCACCGATGTTATTAGTGAAGATGGAAGTAGGTTGTTGTTTATATTGCAGGTACTCAGATAAACAGCAAAAACAATAAACAAGACATTACCATGATAAATACAATCGCATGTAGAAAATTAGTTAGTAGTACGTAGGGATATACTCATGTGTACAACAATATACACTATAATACGATAGAGCTTATAGAGGAATAGTCCATTTTATATATGATCCATCATTAAGACACAAATCCAACGTCAATAAGAAATTGTGTACATGTACATGTACATGTATGTGTACATGCTTTTGTATTGTAGATTGTTTTGAAAGGGTACATGTACTTTTTGACTGGTTCTATTGTGAATGTATTCACATGTATATACATGTACATGCATGTACCTGTCGGTGTCGGTGCTTCTACATGCAAGTATTGAATGGGAGGGGAGAGGTCACTCTCACCGTGTATTGTCACTGCTTGAACCTAACAAACAAACAAATAAATAAATAAATCAATAATAATATTTTCGAGGAAAGAGTCAAAATATACATGTACTTACCCACACAAAATAAGAGCCAGATGTAAGATCAAGTTGACTCAAATCATAACGAAACGTGGTCCCATTGACAGTCCCTCTAACAGTAGCAGTATCGGTATCATTAAACTCACTAACAAATATATTATAACGAATGACGGTACCATAAGAATTCTGCGGTTCGCTCCATCCTAGTATAGTAGATTGACCAGATGGCGTTGGTCTTTGTAAAGAGAGTGACTGAGGGCTTGTGGGTGGAGAAGACATCGTTGTCACGTTAATCGAGACTTGCCTGTTTGTTTCGTTTGAGAGGTCTTGATCAGAGACGCCGTTTCTTGAGGTGACGGTTATCGTGTATGTGGTGAGTGGGGTAAGGCCCCCTCGCTTGTAAATTGTGGTATTTGTAGTGTGAGGAACTATTGAATTCCCATTAGATTGGTCTGTTATGCTGACAAGGTAATTAATATCCGAGCGGCTCCCATTGCTGACGGGTGGATCCCAAGCAATGCTGATACTAGTGGAGTTGAATGAAGTGTTTCTAAGACTTACTGGAGGGCCAGGAGGAGCTGCAGAAAGAAGAGAGAGAGAGAGAGGAGAAAAGAAAGATATATATATAGGTGCACTATGTATGTACTGTATAACCTTAAATAAAAGCCAGATGCAAATAAACGCTGGGGTAGCAATAAAATTGAACTATAAATACGCAGATCTAGCCTTAAAATAACATAGATGCCTTGTAGATACATGTGTACATGTACTTTCTTAGGCTCCGGAAGTCACATGTGTGAGGACACTGGTTTGATGCTGTTGGCCCAAATTTTATTTTATTCTTTAAATTTTTTTCAAGGTCTGAATATCATTTTGAGAAATAGACGCCGGGACTTTTATTTAAGGAAATACGATATATGTCTTTCACAACAGTCATGCACAGTATAGTACATGTTTGTGGATGTTACACAAAATAGTATCCATAACATAGCACAAGCATTATGTAAACTGTAGTATACCCTTTTTGGCAAAATCAAACACACACTTCATGACGGAAGGTGTAGCAGTGCCAATGTTATTTTAAGCATTTTCACACCCTCGCCAAAAAAACTATCGCAGACATGTGATTGGAACCAGAGGGATATGACTCAGCTCATGACACCAAATTAAAATAACAATTGCTTCAACTTTATTATCGTGAGACGAGAATTTGAGGAGGAAATTACTGTAAGACAATTCCCACACTGCTTTTTGTTAGATTGTACTACGTATAGTTATAATAATCATCATCATAATCATCATTAATTAATGATTAGCAGAATTTCTGTGAATTCCATGCAAATAGCACATTTTTCAAGAACTAAATAATGGTACGAATAAATCTAGTACATGCAACAAAAACAAAGCTGGCAGTAGAGAGTACAAGAATGTGCCATTACATTACAGAAGCTGTTTACTAAACTAAAGGCATTGATTTCCAATGGCACGACTAGCATCAAGAGCATCCACTCTTGTTAACATTAATTTTATCAATAACACGAAATCTACAAGAACAAATGGCCTCATGTTTACAATCTCTTGTCCCTAGAGTGAATTGAGGAATGTTATGATGAGTAAGAGATCATAGAGAGGGACAGCTGCTCAACATGTAAAATATATGCAACTACACCTAACTCCCCCAGCTCTAGTTGCTACTGAAAATAATATGAAACAATTAGTAACCAAATTACATTAGTACACATACAAGTACACATGCATACTCGTGTACATAGACACACAATGTACATATTTTCCCTATTAGCTAACAGCACAAACAACAGATCAAGCAGTTACTTGTTCATTTATAGATTCAGTCCCGACGACTAAGGATTGCTTATATACAGGTAAGGAAACTGATTGCTATTAGCTGTTTTATGTACACAGACATGCATGTACATGTACAGAATCAATGCTAGTATAACGGGAATGCTATTGTAATAGGCTGACTTTCCATACATGCTAAACCAGTAGCTAAAACACAGTACATGGGATCCACATCATTTATGAATGTACATGTAGACAGAGGCTCGTATTAAATGGATGCCAAATAAACCGAAATGTATACAATTATGTGTAGCTTGGCACCCAAACAACACACACAGTGATAACACTGTCTGATAGCTTAACTGAAGCTAGTCCACTATATGTCACTGAACATACATGTAAGAGAAACCCACAGAAACACAGTGTAGAATACAACTATCATATAATACTATTACAATTATTGGTGTACCCATAGATTGTACATACATATGTGTACTATGTAAAAAAATGTATGGTTATACTAGCTATGCCCCCCCACACACAAATCACTAGATGCAATGAAAAACATACCCACACTACTGATGTACATGTACACATGCACACAAATCACTCCCCACATGATTTCTTCTGTTCCAATGCACATACACACATTTGTACATGTACAAATATAGCTCTGGGACAGCATTACTAAGGAAAAACAGGTCACATACTTGTTCCAATGCTCAAATGAAAACATACAATAAATACCATTATTAACATAAACTACAGGCACACAATAAGACTAACAGATACAATGTATATGTACATGTACATGTACTATGAGTGGGTATCAGTAACAAAAACGTTTAGTCTTGAAGCATTTAAAAAAATTGAATTTACATGCACATAAATTTGATTACAAGTTTCAATATTTTGGCGTAATTAGCTTGTGGATCGTTTACAAGTATCAAAATTGAATAATCATAGGAAGTTAATATAATATACATAAATGTAGAATGAGATCAGAGAGAGAGAGCTAAAGAGCCTGTATGACTAACAAAGTGATATTTACATCAGGCGTGGTCTAAAATTAAGTGTCATAATAATACCAAATATGTCAATATTCACACAAAAACACACACATACAATACTATAAACTGTATGAAAGGAAGTATTCACTGAATAGAACTGTGCATGACCACCACGACAACAACAAGGCCACACAAAAGCAAAGGACATTAACAGTAGATAATGAAGACTCGTTATGTATCAAATGTTCATAAACAACACACAATGCTCACATTATAACAAAAACACAAGAAAATATACAACTTGTATAGACCCATATGCTTGTGTTGTGTACCAATGCCTCAGAGACCACACAAAAACAAACAAAATTATACACATGAATAGATGGACACATATGTGGTTTTATACATGTACATGTACACATGTATGTGTACATTGTACATAAGAACAAACAACTATAGACTGTTGCTTGTTTGAACAGTCCCACAGAAACTAAAATTGACTCACATATGACACAAACTTACCAGTACATGCTACATCATCAGTTTCATGAGCTGCCCTATAGTATCCAGGGAGGCACTGACAGGAGGTTGAACCAGTGTTTAATGAGTCACTATTATCAGGGCAATCATCACAACTAGTGTCACCAGGGCTCTTTTTATATGTACCAGTAGGACAGGCTATTGAGAGAGAAAGAGAGAGAAGGAGGGAAAGAAAAGTCATAAAAATTACGTGAAATGGTTAATCGATTAGATGTACATGCATATAAAGCACAAACACTTTCAACACTAAAGAAAAAATAACAAACACTTCCCCAAGCAGAGACGTTATAGGTACATAATCATAAGGACAGTGCCACCCACACTCAAGCTAACAAACCCACTGGTGTAATTATACACTGTAATAGCTCTCACCCACATTCATAATAGAATACTCAGATTTGTGGTCATGCATATACACACACAGGCACAGCTGCACTACCACTAACTGGGACACATATGCACACCTGATATGAATACTGAGCTATTCACACTGCTACATCTAGAGGGAGTTTAGGAGATTTTTGGTCCCCCATATTTGGTCTAGCTCTCCTAAAATATCCCATTTTTCAGCTTTTGGTCTAGCTCTCCTAAAATATCCCATTTTTCAGCTTTTGGTCTAGCTCTCCTAAAACATCCCATTTTCAGCTTTTGGTCTAGCCTAGGTGTCCTTAAGTCTCTCATTCTTATAGTCAGATTGGTCTACCAAAATGTATATTTAGCACTAGGGCCTATTCATAGCATATTAACAAATACCATTGTACGCATGTCACACATAATAGCAGCACAAGCCTTCAGTTGAATGAGTTGGATCAACACTTGAACTCTTACAAATGACTATATAGCTCTTATTGGGAGAGATGCCATAAAGTAAAAATTTAAAAAGAAAAAAGCACATCCATAAGCATGAGACCCAATATGCATATATGTACTTTCTATGTCAACAAAAGAGCATTACTTGTACATGCCTTTAAAATTGCATGACAGATGTGACATGCATTATCATTCACATAAAGACAGCACATTTGCCATTTGTACATACATACCTTCACAAACTGTATCGTTAGCTTCATATCCAGGATTACATTGACATGAAGCTGATCCAATCCACACTCCTAATAGCCTACACCTTAAACTTAAAATATTTGATGATGTAGGGCTGGCATTATCAATACAAGTAGCATCCACATTTTTGTCTGGATCGAAGTCCCCTTGGGGAGCTACTGTCTCTGGATAAATAGCTTTATTCAATATTTGATAAGGACATACATTGTAGAATACCACAATCCGATTAATGACAGTACAAGATCCTTGGTCCCATATAGCCAGATATAGACCAGAACTAGACACAGCAAATGACTCAGATTCTGTAGTAGCTCCTTCAACAGCAGTGTGTATCAGACGAACACCAGCATATGAATAATAACTGATATTCCCTCTATCCATCTCATCTGGTTCATTAGTTTCAAATGTCTGCACTTCAAATGTCTGCTGCTGGGGACACTGCTGGTTTAAGCACACCAAATTTGATGAGAATGTTACATTAATTCTTAATTGGCTTATTCCAGGTTCACTAATATTAATGTATTGTGTTATTAGCCAGTTGCTCTGGAATGAAGATGTTCCTCCAGGAATGAGAGTAGCACAAACGTTGATTCGATGCAAGCACTGTACTCCTTGATTACCTTCATACCACTACAATGAGTAAACAACAATAGTAACAATAATATAACTAAGAATAATAATAATCTTACAGAATCGACAAAACCAGCAGCACCAGTTCGACCCACTCCCCCTCCATCATAGTCGATAGTTAGCCAAGTCCTATTTTCTCCTTCTGCTCCAACAAGAAAAACTGACCTGTAGTTCTGTGAGTCCAGTAGAATCTTTTCATTGGGAAAAGTGACATTTCTTATTGGTATATCCGAACAAGTAGGGTCAGCATCATCTGGAGCAATACTTTGGGCGGCTACAGTTGACAAAAGAAAAGACAAAAGGAGGAAACGTGACATGGCAGGCTTTAAAACAGCAGCCATTTTATAAAGAGCCAGAGAGTAATAGGAGTTCGGTAAGGAGGCACAGGATCGCTTTGCTTGCTTGTGAGTTAGGGGCTTGACCTTCCCCTATTATCAGCTATCCTATCCAAAACCAAAATTGAACACGTTATAAAATGGGCGTGGTTTAGTCCGGCTATTGTTGCTGGGTGGAGCTTCACTTAGGCTAGGCGTGGCTTATATCAATAAAAATAAAATATCAATAATTACAATCAATTATGGCGGCCAACTCGAGCCAACTACAGAGAAATTTGCGAGACAATTTGTTCTCTTTCTTGCTTCTTTATGTACTCATAGAGTATCATTTCAAAGACACACTCCACCCCGGCACAATAACAGACTATCCCTTTATCAAATCCAACAGTACGGAAAGCATCTTTTTCAATAATATCATCAATATCTTCATTAGGGTCTTCTCGAGGGTCTTCTTCAGGTGAAGCCGTGAGAAGAGGCTGGGTATCTACTTGTAGTGACATTTGACGATGGGAGTGGCTCCTCAATCTTGTTTCATTCGTCATTGGTTGTAAGGACATTGTAGTCCTTGATCTTTTTGGGCGGGGCTTTCCTGTACCATATCGTCTGAACAAGCTATTAAAAAGAACATTAACATGTAAAGTACACATCATTTTAAAAAGAAGCCCAATGGAGCCACAATTATAATGTTTTAATGCTCAATAATTTGTGACCATAATTGACAAAAGGTACCTTATGGCGGATTATTAAATTCATCATCATAATGAAAAATATCAACCTGTGAGTGCTCTGTTAGACAAGCATTGTTTGTGGAAGTTACATAGTAACTTTTTGTATCCTCTGGAGTAAATTTCATGACAAATAAAGCTCAGGAGGCTGGATTTTTTTTGCTACAAACACAAATTTCACTATCCGCCATAAGATACCTTTTGTCAATTATGGTCACATTTGTTCAAACTTTTTACATAGCATATTATGCATTTATGGTCTACATTTACCTGTATGATGGAACGTATTTCACATATTTATGAGCAACAGCGTTACCACCAATCATCAATGGTCTTATAGCCAGCATGAGACAATTGTCAGCTATGTCAGACCCTCTATGCAATCGCTCCAGTAACAAATTAACTAATAATAATAATAAAATATTTCTATAATGTACTAAGAATAAATATTTCTATAATGTACTAAGAATAAATATTTCTATATACATAAGTACTATGCATTGGATTGTTTTATAATAAATATTTCTATATATGTACAAAGTACTATACATTGGTTTTTCTACCTGTAACTCTCTTTGCATCTTCTTTCATAGGACCAACAGTAAAGAAGTTTATATACCTGTCTTCCTCATCATTGATTCCTCTCCTTCTGTCTCGAATTGGCGTCTGTCCCGGTGAATCAAAATAGACCTTTTGCAAGTAGTCGAAAAGCTTCAAGAACAAGTGAAGGAAAGTTAGTGAATTAATGATTGATTTTGTACTGTACATGTATATAAAATGAATATTAATCTAATGTACTTGGTTGTATAATGCATGGTACTTATTTTGACTGTGTTGTGTACCTTTGTTTGATCCGTTCCTGGTAGTGAGAAGAAGTCCTGCGGTAGACGAAATAGCGTAATTTGATTATAGAGCATGTCATTTTTGATAGGCTCTGACTTATTGTGGAAATGGGAATTGAAACTAATAGAGCAAACCTATACATATAGAACATAGAAATAATTATTTTATTTATGTACAATAGAATGACTTATTACTGATTCTATTGCCCATTCCAGTATGTAAGTGCATCCCAGCCCGTCGAATGATATGTCCATTGCTAGTAATCTCTTTTTGCCTTCTTGGTGAGGCTTTACCAGCTGGAGAAAGCTGTACACTCGATTTTGAAAACTTTCCAGGTCTTTCTTGCTAACAGGTTCGCCAATACATTCTCTGAAAATAATTATAATGTAAAGCATGTATGATGTATGTACTGCAGACCTGGGTCAATTACAATTACACATAGAATTACAGTTATGCCATGCCCAATTTTGATTGGAATCCATTCAAACTTTCACACAACACAAGAGCATGTATATGTATTAGAAAAAAATTATAAAAATAGAGAATTCTCTTCTAGCCATTTTCAACAAAATACCATGTTTCTACAAAGCTCTACACAGCACACCTCATGAGTTGAACTCTACCAGGAAACCCTGACTGTCACACTTACATCCAGTACATGTTCATATAATCATGTAATGATACTGAGCTAGATTGAGAACATTTTCTATAAGCCTGTTTTGAGTCAGTACTCAATTGCTTTATGCATGCTATCTATACATGTACATATACATGTATATGTGTGTGTGTATGACTGTGTGCATTCTTTTCATACTCTGCAAGACTCTTAAGATTGTGCTCTTCTAAAACTTTCCTGAGGTGTCCCCTCCTTCCTCCTTTCTTGCACCAGTTGTGTAGCTCTCTTGTAAACCGCTTCTTCTCATCAGATGCGTGGTTGTAGCAGTTTATACACTCACAGCAATTGCAGGAAGGAGGTACGATGTGTGCTTCATCCATATCTTCATCAATTTCATTGTAAAGACTATCTAGGAAATTGTCAATGCCCTCTTTTATTCTGTCTGAACTCTCAACCAGTCTTGATATTTCTTTTGCGTTTGGTGGTTTTTCCTAATGAATTGAGGAATAGCATAGAGAGAGTTTACAGTGTATTTAATGCTTTAGTTGTAGTCAGGAGCCAATGAAAAGACTGTAAGTGTAATGTATGTGACAGTGTATAGTGTACATGTACATATACATGTATATGCATGGATATTAAATAATTATATTTGTATGTTACCTTATCATCAGTTAGTCCGAGTTTTGGCTTAAGCTTGCTCTCTATTACATATCTTGGTGATCCACCTTTTCCTATGGTTTTAATGATGGCTCTGAATCTTGCTTGCTTAAATAACTGGGTCACGTCCTCCTCTTCATCCCTTTGCTCCAGAAACAACTGAAGGAGTTCGTCGTCTTTGCTATAATGCTGCCCCATCATGTCCTTAATCAGCATCTCTTTTAGTGTAGCCCCCTTACCAGAGCTGGCCCGAAACAGCATCATTAGCAGAAAGTCCATGTCATTCTTAATGGCGTCGTATCTCGGTTTGATAAATTTAGCATACGTATACGTATAATCATTTGGTATGAGACAAGACTGGGAACATATCTCGGCTATCTTTGACTGCCCGAGCTCCTTTGGATGACACTGTATGACCCATATGAATGCATATGCCAGTACTAGCATGATTAGTCCTAGTAGGATAAAGTCCCCATATTGGAGGAGTGCCATGAAATGGATCGATGGGAAGACGCAAGTGACTGTCGTGTTTAAGTGCCAGCCGTAGGAGTTGGGATCAAGGTTTTTAGGGCATGGAAATACTTCAGGAAAGTTGTAAAAGTATACGGCAGAGAATAGAATGGATCCCGTGGATACTAGAAGCTGTATTGCTAGTTTTAATATGTAACTCCCGAAGAGTAACGGGACCTTCCATTTCCAGATATCTATGTAGCTTTGAGTCTGAAACTCGCTCACGAGCCTCGAGACGATATCGGAATTACGTGGATCATAATCACCAGTCAGCCGGTCCCTCAGTCTATCCAGCCCGTTACAAAGATCAAAGAAATAATTGATATAAGAGTCGGACACTGTCTTCCATAGTATGTGAGGTCCTATTATTAGGAACCCGTGTATAATGACATAGAGAGTGAAGTACTCTGATCTCGGTAGACTACCGTAGCAGTAGTTATTGACATATGCTGCTTCATCGCGTAGATCGGTTTCAACGTGACAGGAAACCGTGTAATTACGAAAGAAGTTTGCAGACACATCAAGTAGAGAGAGACCAAATATGGCAGCGACCAGCCATTGTATTATACTGTCCCACAGGAACTCTTGTTTATGTACTGATGTCCTTGAGGAGCTGTCTGCAGGGTCACTCCTCTTTGGCTTTTCTTTCTGTTTCTCATCTTCTTGTTTGTTTCCTTTGCTGAATCTTTTCTCTAATTCTTTTAAGATTTCACCCACAATAGCAGTACCTGTACCAGCTGGTGCTTTTAAGGGTCCTTCTGCCATTTTTTATTTTCTCTTAGCATGTGGTAGATAGTGGGAGGGAGGTTTTCTTAAAGTGGGTGTACATGTACATAGCTTTAAGATAATGATAATCAGTATATATTGTGCATTTTGTTGCATTCATGTTGGTGTTATTGCTACTCCCTTCCCATTGTGGGGAGCATGTATTACTACTGACATATACCGTATTTCCTTAAATAAAAGCCCGGGCGTCTATTTCCTAAAATGATACTTGGACCTCCAAAAAATATATAAAAAATAAAAAAAAACTTTGGCCCAGAGCGGGATTCGAGCCCGCGGCCTCAAGCTTTTGACTTCTGGAACTTCAAGCATTGCCCACTAGACTACTGAGTCACTCCTAGGCTGGTGTTGCGTATTTATAGTTTAATTCTATTGCTACCCCGGCGTTTATTCGAATGCGGCTTCTATTTAAGGAAATACGGTATACATGTATATGTACATGTACATGTATATGACTGAATGTAAAGTACATGTGTTTATTATTCAATTCATTCGTGTTGTTAGGAAGCATGAGAATGTAAAGACATTGTAATTAGTTTATACTATAAAAGTTATGTGTACATAGTGTTTCTATGTTCTATGAATTAAGTTAATAAAAGCTTCACTTTGCTACAATTGATTAGCATTTTCTGTGTACTCATTCACGGACTAAATTGAGTGTGACTAGTGTATGTACTGATAATCAAGGAGTGGCTTTGTAGAGTACGTTCTTTACATTTTTTACACTTCAGCTACTCCACAGGTGCATGTGTGTTAAACCATACATGACTTTAGAGTACGGTCTTTGAATTCTTGCTTTC